GACCAAAGTGACGTTGCTGTTTAGGACATTTAGCTTATTAGATTTCACGGAACAACTAATTTAAAAAATTTACAACTGTATTAACGTCTCCCGGAGTAGATTTCTAGGATCCTAAAAACTAGACCCTATAGCAGGAGATGTCACGCCTACTGATCAGTATGTAAGCATTTGCCAAAGAAAACTTATAATGTGCTCGACAAAGTTCGTGAGTTACAGAAGGAGGTAAAGCTTGACGGTTTTGAGGGCCTCCCTTTGCCTTGTTCCAATAGCATAGGCATTCGTTTGCCAAGCCGTTTACACTAAAAACGGACCGTAGCATTCTTTACGAGTTCTATTCTCGAAGTTCTGTTCCTTGTCAAAATCCATTTATTATAGCCCTTTGTCTAGAGACCTTGTTCCTCTACAATATTATTGCGACAGTGTTCCTAGGTCGTTTGCATCAAAGCGACAGGATGGGAAAATCCGGCAAGATGGAGAGCCAAATGGCACTCACAGCCCCACGACTAAGCCATCAACTCGGCTTAGAGCTGATTGAGCGTGTCCCTGGCTAACTTGTGGTAACCTTGAGTGCGAAGAATCTACAAAGACCAACAAGACAATGATAATGATCTCCACATGTGGCATACTGTCCTGTTTCGTTTTATTAATATATCACAAAGAATACGTAAGAATACCACAAGGCTATAAACAGTATATAGATAAACTTATCATCACCTTTCAATGTTCCAGTCATTGACAAAAGTACTTGGAATCCAAAGCATCTGGGTTTTAGATATTTATTACTTTTATTGTCAAGTCTTTGTTTCCCTGATTGTCTCTTTTCAGAAATTGAGATTAAAAAATATAAAGACAATAGATAGCTGTTATAGGTCATGTATTTAGAAAGATGTTTTAGCTTGAGGCATCTTTGGCTCAATTTAGATATTAGAAACCAAAGATGTTATCTGCAGCTTCCACAGCCTTCTTTTTGGCGTCTGGGTTCATCTCGTCAATGGTCTCCTTGCGCGGCTTAAACTTACGGAAGGTGAACTCTGCAAATAGAACAAAAGGAGCGTGCAGTCTTCAGTGGTTTACATTAGACACCTCACCTCCAATGATGCCATTGGAATCCTCCTGATGGAACACGATACGGTTGCTATCAGACCAAGCAAAGAGTTTGATGCGGTACACCTGTACTCGTAAGCATGAGCTGTGACTGAAATACAAAAGGCAGCCTGGGCACAAACCTTGAAGTACGGGTTTTGCATATCAGGGTACCTTAAGACCCCGATGTCAATTATGGTCTTCTCGTGGTGCTCATGCTTGGCAAAGAAATTTTCAAAGCTGGTAATGGTCGCCCCTGACTGAGCAACAATTTCCCCAACAACTTTAATGTCGATCTTGGTTGATTTCAGGACGTCCTCATCTGCGATGAGATTCACAAACCAGACCTGAACCTGTGCCGAGAGAAGGCCGCAAAGGTTAATAGAGCTCTTCCACAATACATGACTCTATTACCGCTTTCACAATAGCTGGGTCCGGTGACCCGTCAATCTTGAAATCGCTAGAGCTTTTGTTGAGAAACTTGTCAGCTCTGCTAATCCCATCGCCCATTGGCTCAACCAGGGGATTTTGCATGAACATGGAGTTGACCTTCTCCCAAGTTCGCTCTTTCGGTGCCACTTTGGCTAGAAGGTCTGTGGTTCCCGAGATGCAAACTTTGAGAACCTCATCCATCTTCTTCACTGTTTCTGCATTCAATGTCCCAAACGATGGTGCCAGGTTGGTGTGGAGGTAATCCTTAGCACTCTTGGAACGCACATCAATCTGGAGCATTCCACAAGGAGTTAAGCACTGCTTTGGGCAAGACAGGTTCAACTTTACCTTGCTGAAATCAAAATTCGCCACAATGTCACCAATCTCCTTCAATGAACCGAAGGCTCCCTGCATTGTCACCATGGTTGCCATTGCAATTCACCTTCAGAAGAAGTATGTACACCAGAAGAGGTATGTACACTCACTTTTTATAATGGGGTAAATGAGTTAGTTTAGTGCACAAAACATGTTTATCCCAAAATGAAGTGACTCATCGCAGCACGTGCTGCATGACTTTGTCATACATATCCTTCCAAAAATGCAGGTATACCCGGTTAAAAAACAAAAGGTGATTTGGATGAGCGTTCTGAAAGATTAGTTTAGTGCAGAAAACTAGTTCGGTGCAGGAAACGCATCTACACCAAACGCGTTTGGTGCAAAACGCCAAGCCTCCTTCGGTGCAGTAGTCTAGCTTGACCCAACGCCAAAAATCAGGTATCGTTTCATATTATGCTTTTAGGGCATGATAAACTGCAGCCCCAGCCGGTAGCTGGAACCGCATCGCGTCACAAAGGAACCAGCGCTTGTGGAAAACCACAGGTCCACTAAGTCAAGTTTCACAGCATAGTCTCGGAGAGTGGTGAATTGAAATGCGCCGTGAACGTCAACAGGGTGAAATCACACACTCGTTTCATGTGCCTTTTGCAAGAGTAGCAAAAGCTTGATTGGGCTTGTCCGAGATTGGGAGCCCGACTTGTATCCATCCAAGGCAGGCGTGAGATGCTTCGGGTGCCCGAGACTAGGGAGGCGTTGCGGGCATCTGCAGAATACGAAGGGACGACGCTGGTGTAGTAGTGCTTGGTTCTGAGGGTGACTAACAAATCAACGTAGCCGTACATGTGTATAGATTAATTGCTTTGAAAATCAATGAAAAGCTAACATTTTCAATGACAGAAGACTATGTTGACTAAATATTGACTTTTAGCGAAGTTCTACGGTCAAACTATTTGCTTAAATTGTACAGTTGAAGAAGAAATCCTACCTTTGTTTCACAACGAAGAAACGATCAGCTTTGCAAGATGGCACGGCCCAAGTTGGATGCCAGTGCCAATCTCAGGTGATCCACAGCGCCAGGCTCTGCTGTGCTTAGGATGTTGTTCTCTAGCCGGTTTAGACATCAAGAAGAAAGAAATCAAAGACATACCTGCCAGGTTAAGCTGTGTGAAGACAGTACTTGAGAATAAACCAAACGATGGAGTTCTGTCAAGGTCTTCTTCAAGAAGAGATCGAACGTCCTCCCCTTTTGCTATCAGGAGATCATCAACATGCGCCATCATCCTGATAGAAAATTTATATAAATATTCGACATGAGAAGTTCTTGCCACTGTGACGGGGAAGAGCATTTACCTCGGTGTCATTGCTGATAATTGCAGATAAAAGTTCTTCAAGGTCTTCGTCCCCAGAACTTTTCAATCCTTTGCACTTGGAAGCTATGCTACGCATTCCATCTAAGACCTGCACCCGATAATTGCATGTGAACTTAGCACACTACACAGTTCATACATGCCAAAGAAAAAGGTATCAGATGTAGGAAATGCGCCACCAGCAGCTCCATCCACTGAATCGTAGAGAGCTGTAGAATATCAACGTTTCCCAATAGCACCTGTATTAGCTTCTTAAGACCAAGAAGCGTCCCACAGTGGTTGCATTCCGCCCAAAACACACTATTTTCAAGCTTGGAAACCTGACTTCGCCATTTTTCCCTCGCCTGCATGTAATAAAATCTGAGAAACTAAAAACTTTGCTGCAACCACATCAAACCTTAGAAAAGTCAGGCTTAAAACCTACAGCAACACCAGGACTTCCATACCAGGGAGGTATTTGGCAGGCGAGGAGGGAGCGAGCACCGAGTACGAAGGGACCACCTTGCTGCGAGAGAAAGAAAATCAAAGTAGCCGTTGATTATGTAATGTTTACTGGTCGTAAATATGAGCAAGGATAATTCAACCATGTCAGAACGCAGGACGTATTCATTTAGAAACTCATGCTTGCTGTTCTCAGCTGGACAAGAAACTAAGAAAAGACCAAAGTGACGTTGCTGTTTTGGAAAGATTCGCGCATTTAGCTTATTAATTTAAAAAAATTACAACTGTATTAACGTCTTGATCGTCTTGTCCTGGAGTAGATTTCTAGGATCCTAAAAACTCGACCCTATAGCAGGAGATGTCACGCCTACTGATCAGTACGTAAGCATTTGCAAAAGAAAACTTACAATGTGCTGGTGACAAAGTTCGTGAGTTAGAGGAGGAGGAAAAGCTCGACCCTTTGCCTTGTTCCAAGTATTCTCTAAAGTTCTATTTTCAAAGTTCTGTTCCTTGTCAAAATCCATTTCTACAATATTATTGCGACAGTGTTCCTGGGGTCGTTTGCATCAAAGCGACAGGATGGGAAAATCCAGCAAGATGGAGAGCCAAATGGCACTCACGACTAAGCCATCAACTTGGCTTAGGGCTGATTGAGGGTGTCCCTGGCTAACTTGTGGTAACCTTGAGCATGAAGAATCTACAAAGACCAACGAGACAATGATAATGATCTTCACATGGCAAACTGTCCTGTTTCGTTTTATTAATATATCACAAAGAATACTTATGCTTCTTGATGGGCACCACAAGACTATAAACAGTATATAGACAGAGATAAATTTATCATCACGTTTCAATGTTCCACTGGAAGGCAAAAGTTTGCAACATTGACAAAAGTACTAAAGCATCTAGGTTTTAAATATTTATTACTTTTATTGTAGTTTGTATATCAAGTCTTTGTTTCCCTGATTGTCTCTTTTCAGAAATTGAGATTAAAAAATATTAAGACAATAGATAGCTGTTATTTTCAAGTAAATGAAGGTCTATGACTTGATTATTATTTAGAAAGGTGTTTTAGCGTGAAGCAGGGGACAATTGACACAGTCTGGATATTAGAAACCAAAGATGTCATCTGCAGCTTACGGAAGGTGAACTCTGCAAATAGAACAAAAGGAGCGTGCAGTCTTCAGTGGTTTACATTAGACACCTCACCTCCAATGATGCCATTGGAATCCTCCTGATGGAACACGATACGGTTGCTATCAGACCAAGCAAAGAGTTTGATGCGGTACACCTGTACTCGTAAGCATGAGCTGTGACTGAAATACAAAGGGCAGCCTGGGCACAAACCTTGAAGTACGGGTTTTGCATATCAGGGTACCTTAAGACCCCGATGTCAATTATGGTCTTCTCGTGGTGCTCATGCTTGGCAAAGAAATTTTCAAAGCTGGTAATGGTCGCCCCTGACTGAGCAACAATTTCCCCAACAACTTTAATGTCGATCTTGGTTGATTTCAGGACGTTCTCATCTGCGATGAGATTCACAAACCAGACCTGAACCTGTGACGAGAGAAGGCCGCAAAGGTTAATAGAGCTCTTCCATAATACATGACTCTATTACCGCTTTCACAGTAGCTACCCATCAAACTTGAAATCGTTAGAGCTTTTGTTGAGAAACTTGTCAGCTCTGCTAACCCCATCGCCCATTGGCTCAACCAGGGGATTTTGCATGAACATGGAGTTGACCTTCTCCCAAGTTCGCTCTTCTGGTGGCACTTTGGCGAGAAGAGTGGTAGTTCCCGAGATGCAAACCTTGAGAACCTCATCCATCTTCTTCACTGTTTCTGCATTCAATGCCCCAAACGATAGTGCCAGGTTGCTGTGGAGGTAATCCTCAGAACTCTTGGAACACACATCAATCTGGAGCATTCCACAAGGAGTTAAGCACTGCTTTGGGCAAGACAGGTTCCACTTACCTTGCTGAAATCAAAATTCGCCACAATGTCACCCTGCATTGTCGCCAGGGTTGCCATTGCAATTCACCTTCAGAAGAGGTATGTACACCAGAAGAAGACTCCATTTTTATAATGGGGTAAATGAGTTAGTTTAGTGCACAAAACATGTTTATCCCAAAATGAAGTATAGCTTGACTCATACATATACCTCCAAACCTGCAGGTAACAAAAGGTGATTGGGTGGTCTGAAAGATTAGTTTAGTGCAGAAAACGAGTTAAACACATTTACACCAAACAGAAAACGCCATGCAGTAGTCCCAATATCAAGAAAATCAGGTATCATATTGCTTTTAGGGCATGATAAACTGCCGTACATTGCTCTGGGTAGATTGCAGCGTCCTCTCCTCGCCAAATGAGTAGACGACTTTGCCCGGAACCGCATCGCGTCGCAAAGGAACCAGTGCTTGTGGAAACCCACAGGTCCACTAAGTCAACTTTTACAACTTTAAAAACCCTTCGGAGAATTGATGGTGAAGGAAATGGGCCGTGAACGTCAACAGGGTGAAATTCACAGGGTGAAATCACACTGTTAGGGGAGAGTAGCAAAAGCTTGTTTGCGCTTGTCTGAGATTGGGAGCCTGACTTCCAAGGCAGGATAGGGAGGTGTTGATTGATGCCACCACCCAAGCGTACCAATAACAACGTCCTGATGAAAGCCATCGAGAATGTTAGAAACCCCTCGCCAAAGTTTAGCGGTGGCGCTGGTAGCAGTGGTAGCGGTGGTGACAACCGGCATAAGCAGCAGCGATCGTGGTGGAGCAACTACATTTGTTGCACGCTGAGAATCAGCTAGTGATTTTTGGACAGAGAGAATTTATGCCAAGCTACGATCAGCTTTGCAAGATGGCACGGCCCAAGTTGGATGCCAGCGCCAATCTCAGGCGATCCAAAGCGCCAGGCTCTGCGGTGCCTAGGATGTCGTTCTCTAGCCGGTCCCTGGCGAGGAAGAGTTCCTGGAGGCAGCAGAGTAGAGTGTTTGTTTCGGACTCGCTAACCAGCACTTGCTCCGGCCATTCCAGCAGCTCCACCTGATTGATCCGAATTTTAGAGTGTAAACGAGATGTGAGAACAGCTCCATACTGATTCTTGGAGCAAGGACAGCCAGAATTTACGTGGAAAGGTTCCAGATTTTAGAAGCTGCAAGCCGGGGTATTAGCGAGCAAGAAGAAGTTCCGAACGGATTGGTAACCTGGAGAAGAGAAGTCACCGCTGCTCTGCCTCGCGCAGCGAGGTTTTCGGTGTAGGAAGCCTCCCTACGACGCAGATCGCTGATGTTTTGCAGCGCTGCCTTAAAGCTTTTGTACCTGTGTGAAGTTAGAAGTGAGCTCCGGATAGTTTCGCAACTGTATAAAGTGAGTACCTTGCTAGCAACGACAGGCCTTGATGCTTCGTTGCTCCCGAGCCAAGGATGTCACAGAGACCCTCAAAATGCTGGCACGGGAAAAGAGCGTTAAAAGTGTGCGTGTATCAAATAAAACGTAAGACTGCTACCTCGAGATTATCCAGACTATCAGCTTCACCAGACGTTATTGTGTTCAAAATCTGATCCGCAAGAGTAGAAAGCCTCTGCTCGTCTCGGGCCAATTGAAGCCACATTATCTCTTGGCCCTTCTTTCCATGCTTTAAACTATGAACACCAACAGCCTGGAAGACATAAAACACATGTGAGAACCCCAAGCCTGGAAAGGAAGAGGATACTAAACCCTGGCGATGGCTGTGCTCACGGTATCAAGCTCATAGAGGCGGCATATCTCTAGTGCCTGTTGCACAAAATTCACATTAAGATTCAAGAAAACGTCACACCAAGACCAACCTTCAATGCCAGTATCTGATTGGAACAACTCTGCTTCATTAGGAGAGCTTCAAGCATTCCCAGGCCTTGCTTTGGGCAAGCCGCGAGGTAAACAGGTGCTAGCTGAGATAATTGTTAGACAGACATCAAGAACAAAGAAATCAACGATATACCTGCCAGGTTAAGCTGTGCGAAGACAGTACTTGAGAATAAACCAAACGATGGAGTTCTTTCAAGCTCAAGCCGCCTAGAGTTTGCCTGTCTTCTTCAAGAAGAGATCGAACGTCCTCCCCTTTTGCTATCAGGAGATCATCAACATGCGCCATCATCCTGATAGAAAATTTATATCAATATTCGACATGAGAAGTTCTTACCAGGCATTGAAAACCTTCCAACACTTCGCCAAGAGTATCTGTATAGTACTAGATTAAACTCCACTGTGACGGGGAAGAGCATTTACCTCGGTGTCGTTGCTGATAATTGCAGATAAAAGTTCTTGAAGGTCTTCGTCCCCAGAACTTTTCAATCCTTTGCACTTGGAAGCTATGCTACGCATTCCATCTAAAACCTGCACCCGATAATTGCAAGTGAACTGAGCACACTACACAGTTCATACATACCAAAGAAAAAGGTATCAGATGTAGGAAATGCGCCACCAGCAGCTCCATCCAGTGAAACGTAGAGAGCTGTAGAACATCAACGTTTCCCAATAGCACCTGTATTAGCTTCTTAAGACCAAGAAGCGTCCCACGGTGGTTGCATTCCGCCCAAAACACACTATTTTCAAGCTTGGAAACCTGACTTCGCCATTTTTCCCTCGCCTGCATGTAATAAAATCTGAGAAACTAAACACTTTGCTGCAACCACATCAAACCTTAGAAAAGTCAGGCTTAAAACCTATAGCAACACCAGGACTTCCATCAGGGAGCCTCGGGCGCAGCCGCGGCATTTGCATAATGAGCAGTGTAACTGCTTCTACGAGGCCATTTTCAGTCTGCCAAGACATAAAAAAGCATCCGGAAGTTAACGCAAGTCAACAAAACAGCATGGAGAAAGAAACCTGCCGGTCATCAAGCTGATCCAATCGATATGATCCATGCATCCGCAAGAACGCTATCTGGAAGATTGAGATTACCAATGGAACTTACACGCACAGTTTTACAACTTACAACAACGTCAAGCCATCCGACTGACAAGGCCGAGGCCATTGCATCCCAGTAAGCTGCATCGTCTTCGGGAAACTGCAAGTGCAAGTTAAACAACGATACACAAAGAGAAAACAAAAAGCTGCAAGACTTCGAACTTACTTGAATCTCGGAAAGCTTCCGCTGGAACGACACTACCTTGGAATGTACAGTGTCCTCATCAATCAAGAGGACTTTGTCATACTTCTGCAAAGCTCACAGGCAAATCAATCGTAAGTCAAGAAAAAACTCACTGCTTCTTACCGCTAGCCAGTCTACAAGACGCTCCGGAAGCCACCATGTCGCGCTTCTGTCCACATAGAAAACTTCTATGAGCTCCCACACAGCCTTAAGCATCGAGGTCTTCTCCTCCTGCACAAAATAAATAAATAAATCAAATGAATCTTTCACATCATTCTCTCACGCAACCTTGCCTTGAGTGGGCTGGTCGAGAACGCTGCGAATGCTCTTGCTATATTCTAAAACATGCTCCCACCTGCGATCACAACTAGCGTTTCTAGAGAAAAAGAGAAGAATTTTTCATACCAGTGACCAGTCGCCTGGGTTGTAGCCCAATTGCCGCTGGTTCTGGAGAAGAGCAAAAGCCGGGAGAGAATCATACGCCAGTCGCCGCCTCTCGGCATCCCATCCTTCTCCCAGATGAATCTCCGTGACTCTTCCACCGCCTCCCACAGCATTCTCGATGTAGGAGAGCTGGAGCTGGTTCCCATTGCTCCACGACACACAATCGCCCTGGATCCCTCAATCCGCCCGGCACGCTATAGATTACCGCGGCCGAGGAGCTGAGGATCCATCGCCACCGGCATTACGCTCCCCGTTCTCCAGCTCCTCGAGACGCTGGATCCCCGGCATCACGCGCTCCAGAATCAGGCCTATCTTCCCAAGATCATCGTCGTGATTGGGCTCAGCATTGCCCAACTCTCGATCCTGATGCTCCCGGCGGACGTCGCGAATCGCCATTCCTGCGAGAAGAATCTCTACGTCGGGGCGTGTAAGCTCACTCTCCCGATGAAGCAGCTATGGTGGGCGGTTTACATCATCGACACTGTGCTCCTCATTCCTTTCGCGATCTTCTTCTACGAGAGCGATCAGGAGAAGTAATCTTCCATCTTTTTGTTCTTGTTCTTAGAATACTCGATCGACCGAGCTCCTCCTAGAGTTTCTTAAGTTCTTTCTATTCCTCCATGATCTCAAAAGCTTTCTTTGTTCGTGGTGATTTCCAGGACTGTGACACAAAGGGTAAAGAACGCTCTCTTGTGGGTGGTGATACTCCTCACAGTCTTCTGCCTCCTTTTGGGAATTCTCTATGGTAAGAAGCTTTTTTCCATCTTTTGTTCTTAAACCCTTTTTCTACGTGATTGCTTGAAGTTGTTATTGGTTATGCCGATTTCACCATGAGAAGTCTTTCATCCACAACGATGGCGTTCACCAATGATTTTAGCTCGCTCAATGCAAAGGCTTCGTGCTTGGTTTCGGCTGGTTTCTCATTGTTTTCTAATGTTACTCTCATGGTAAGCCTTTTCTTCTACATTTTCCCTTTCTTCATTGATCTGACAACATTGTGTGACAGTGTGCAGCTTATATGTCTGGATCTCTGGTTAAAACTATCTGTGACTTACGTGATCACATTAAACACAATAATAGGATCAATACTCTTCATGGTAATGTCGTTTTATGTGTTGTTTTCTAGAAGATCTGATTTCCTTCCTGCAGTTGTTTGGAGGTGTTGGAATGGCAACATTACCAGTGAGCCTCATATTTGCGTTCAAGAATAGGCCCAAGTGTGTTATTACTCGTGTGTGTGTGATTTGTTCTCATTTCTTGCAACTAATATCTTCAAGGTGATGGCTTTACAGGAGGCGACTGATCTAGCCAAGCGCTCTAACGAGCTAAAAACGGCGACTTTGGGCCTCTAACGCGAAGAGAGAGGTGGGAAGAAAGGACGGATGTTTCGAAAAAATGTGAAGAAAGTCCAGCAGGTGAGCACCACTGTGCACAGAAACAAAAGTAAATGGTGGACGTGATCATGTTGACAAACGCATATGTGTAGCTCGATTCAGGAGCTTGTCTTTTTGGAAGATGATGTTGAAGCTCTGAACGAGGCATTCCCACAGGGAGAGAAGGTACCGTTCTAGTTTACCATTTACCAAGGCACGCTCGATCCAATGTGGCACGAGAATGTGATCGCGTCGGGCGCGCAACCGTCGAGCGCCATGGATTCCGATGTTTGGCTCCGGCATGGCGTCGAGGATCGATCGCGCCTTGCGGAGCTGCCACGTGCATCACCGCCGTCCAGGTCACCACGTTCTTGTCCAGGGTTTGATCGAAGAGCTCCCTCGCCCGATCCACCAGCCCCGCCTGTGCGTAGGCCGAGATGATCGTGTTCCAGGACGAGAGATTCCTCGGCGCCGTCATCGAATCGAATGCCTGCCGCGCCTCCTCAGCGCCTGGATCATCACGTTCCAGGCAACGGTGTTGCAGTGCTTCATCCGCGAGAAGAGCTCCCTCGCCTGGTCGATCTTCCCCACGGATCCATAGCCCGCGATCATGGACGTGATGGACATGAGATCCGGATGATCCAGCGCGAGGAAGAGCTCCTCGGTGTTGTGCATCAGCGCTCGGCGTAGCCCTGGATCATGCTCAACCACGCGACACAATCCCAGTGCGGCATAGCATCGAAGACCGATCGCGCGAGATCGACCTCCCCGGAGGAGACGCAGGCGTGGAGGAGATTTTTCCATCTCGAGACGTCCCTCTCGGCCATGGCGTTGCGGAAGAACTCCTGGGCTTCGCGAATTTGCCCGCATTGGGCAAATGCTGCGATCATCGCGTTCGCCGAGACGACGCCCCCGGCAGGCATCCGCGCGAAGACCTCCCGCGCCTCGCCGATCCGGAGGCGCTGCGCGGCGATGGTGAGCATCGAGTTCCAGGTAACGACGTCATGGCGGGGGGATTCCACGAACAGGGATCGCGCGTCGCGGAAGCAGCCGTTCTGGGCAAGCGTGGCGATGGTGAAGAGGTTGCGGACGCAGAGCTTGCGGAAGACGACCATGCGCTGGCGATGGAGCGGATTGCTGACAAAGAGATCGGTGTGCCAGCTCGAGCGGACGATCTGCGCGTGCAATCGCCGGCCGCCCTCCAGATCGCCGCAGCAGCACGACGTAGCCCGACGCCTCGGGATCGCTCATCCTCCTCGTCCCCGCGCATTTCCGAGGAAGAACAAGAATAATCTACGTGAGCCCTAAATTCTAAGATGGTAACTTTAAGGGTAAAATATAAATAAGCATAATCCACGTCCGCCCTAATTCTTCTTCTATGGCGTATTCTTATTCTAGGTGGAAATCGATGAACCAAAGTCTTTGGTTCGATTTCTGTACGAGTCGGAGTTGATGGAAGTCGGATTAAATAATGTAGCGCCAGTCGGCCTCCAGCCTTGTCGCGATCCAGCCTTTAAATTGAAACGCTGGCACTTCTTCATTCTTGCTGAGATCGATCAGCAAGTACTTCTCTTTCAAGTAGTCATACATGATCTTGTGCACCAAACCTGGATTACAAACAAGGATGAGACAGACACTAAGATCGAAAGACAGAAGAAAAGAAAATTAAGAAAGCTTACCAGCTTTGTGCAAAGCTTTCAATCCTCGCAAAACTCCATATGCCATGTCGCGCATGTCCTCCTCATTGTCGGGATATTTCTTCGCACAGAGTGGTAGAGTTTCCACCTCGTCATCTCCTTGATCGCTTCCGTCCTCTTGGTGACCGTCGCAAATCTCGCTCTCTTTCTCCTCCTGCCGCCACTGCCGCTGCTACTGTCTGATGAAGAAGATCGTTCTGATGATTCCGAGATGTCAGAACCTACATGTGCTTCGGGATGGCAGTGAGAGTCACCTCGCGCATGAGTTGTACCTCCTTGGACTCAAGTGTAGGCCCGAACACGCTACTAATCATATGTCCGCCACCTTCTATGGCAGCGACGTAAGCGGCCTCGAGGCCGGCAAGACAGACCTCGTGCTCGGAAGAATACGCTTCGAAGTCTATGATTCTCTTCACAGCGCCCTTGAGCGTGAGCTTGACTTCCCAGTGACCATGGAGAACAAACGTATCAAGCGGAGGCCTGCAACGATCTAGTCAGTACGGAATCGGTGCGAGCTTGTTCATCACTCACGGGGTTTCAGCGGCCATAGCAACAAGAAGTAGAGCTTGAACGGTATGTGCTTAGTCACATCCAGCACGTCAGTCACTGGCGTGAGGACTCCCTGCGCCAAAAGAACGTTAGAAAACAGAGATTTCTCAGTGAATCAACGCTTCTTGCTTGCAGCACGAAAAACTGGACGAACTGGCCTGCAGCTGCGTAGCATATCATAATCTTGAGCTTCCGATACATTGCGGGAGGGAGTTCCATAATCTTCACAGCGAGCTCGGCCTTCGCCTTCTCAAACTTGTTGGGATTCTTCCTCTCCTCGCCAAATGCGCTTTTTCCCCGGCCCATGATGATATTGCGCGGCCGATTCGACTTGCTGAAGAACTTCCATCATGGAAGTTCCGTGATGAATCCTTCGTCGATAAGCGTTTGGGACACACAATCTCTCAGCAGGTCCCAGATTCGCTGGAACTGCATTGCCGTCGCGTCGAAGTACTCCTCCCCGGCCACCAAGGAACCAAGCAAGTGGAAAACCGCCCAGCCTCATTCGTGACATCGAAGAACTCATCCGTGGGGACACGACGTTGAGACGTCGAAGTCGGATAGAAAAGCTTTCACGTCGTCGTTGGGTCCAGACGATATACAGCGAGCAGGCTTTCAGGATCTCCTCGGTGCCTGGAAGAGATATCAATGCTCATTCTGATCAAGAAGAAATCACAAGGGGCTGCTGGCTGGCCGTGGGCAACAAGGCCGGAGATCTTGTACGGTAGATGTTCCCTCCACCAAGATTTACAAGGCTGGAGACATATCTTTCCTTTCCTCAACGTAGGGCGGAAGGATGTACACCCAGAACCCAGGGAAGATGGTCCAGCTTAATGCGTGGAGAACCCGACTTGTATCGACGCAGGACAGAAACATCCTCCATCTTCTACTCCACTGCAATATGAGTTGTGGCGAGGCTTGGCTGATCTTCAGAAGGCGTGGCCAGTGGAAGTGAACGCTCTTGCCTAGCATGGAGAGCTGTTATTGCGTTCTCCCGCAACGAGTTTGGCAGCAGCCTTGAGGTCGGGAGGTATTTGGCAGGTGAGGAGGGAGTGAGCACCGAGTACGAAGGGACCACCTTGCTGCGAGAGTGTATTGATTATGTAATCCATGTGACTAATATTGACTTTTAAGGTCATGGTCAAACTATTTG